GATGGAAGTGGAGCACCAGCTGCGAGTCGTCATCCGCCTGCAGATCCTCGACCAGAGGAGCCGTGGTCGCCTCGTATGTCTGAGGGAGGAAGAGGAGGGAGGAAGAGGGGTGATGAAGAAGAGTGATGAAGAGGAGTGATGAAGAGGGGTGATGATGAAGAGTGATGAAGAGGAGTGATGAAGAGGGGTGATGAAGAAGAGTGATGAAGAGGGGTGATGATGAAGAGGGGTGATGATGAAGAAGAGTGATGAAGAGAGGTGATGATGAGGCTGCAGGCGTCCTCACCTTCAGGAAGGCGATGTGATCTTGACTGGTCGCCTGCGCCTCCAGCGCCGCTCTCCTCTCCGTCAGCTGGCTAAGCTCCTCCTCCAGGCGCTTCACCATCCCCTCCCCCTTTGTCATCACAGCCTCCAGCTGGGCCACGATCCCGCCCACCACACGAGACCGGATCTGGTCCAACGAGTCGGACAGGTCGTTCAGCGGGAGTTCAACCTCGCCGCGCTCTCTGTCAGCATGGCTCTGAAACACAGACGGGTTCAGATGGTTGGTGAGAAGAGAGCAACGCCATCGTCTCCCACACGCTCCACCCGCCACGCCACGTTTTACATCAGGAGCAAACAGGTGTGTCACCTGCAGGCCGTCCAGCTTCTTCTTCAGCTCCGTCACACGGATCTCCTTCTCCTTGATGCGGTTCAGGATCTCCTGCTCCGTCCTGGACACCTGTTTCTGCAGAGGCAGCGGACACGGGCGAGTCAAATCACTTTGGACCAAACGATGAATTTACTTTGTGTTCATCTCCAAGGATTTATTTTCATTCCAGAATGTTTTTCATCGTTTTAAAATCTTTGTTTTTCATCAAAAAGAAACAAAAAAAAAATCTTAAAAATTGCAAAAATTCATTTAAAATAAAATTTACAAATTTACAACAAATAATAAATTAAATGACGAATTGTAATGAGCAGCATTAACAAACATAACAGTCAATAAAAAAATAGAATCAAATTACTTGAATAAATGGCGTTCCCGGGAATAATCTGGGATATTTGTACCTGCTTGCTGAGCCTCTCAGTTTGCACGGAGACAGTTTTATGCACTCGATGTTCCCGCAGCACGCAGATGGCACAGATGCAGCTCTCGCACGTCCTGCAGTACACCTGCACAGGTGAGCCATCAATGCAGAACATGAACTGATACGGAAAAGTTTTACTGACATGATCAAATAAAAACAAATGATTTTTGAATTTGTTCAAAATATAAAAATTATTGTAACATCTGAAACTAAAAAAAATTAAAATATTTAAATGTTACATAAACATCATCATAGAGGAAAATAAATACCTCCATCAGGCGCCGGTGGACGGAGCAGGTGCGGCCCCTCAGGGCCTCCTGGGGGTCCATCAGGGGGTGTTTGGCGTAGAATGGCGTGGTGTGATGTGGCTGCACGTGCTCAGTGCAGTAGGAGGCGGTGCAGGTGAGACAGGAGCTGACGGCGGGCTGTTTGATTCCCGTACAAACGTCGCACCACACTACGTCCCCGTTCGCCTGAGCTACTGATGGCTCAGGCGTCAGGAAGGGGTTGGTGTTCACGGCGCCTGCCATCGCGGC